ATACCTAAAGCAAAAATATAACTAGTAATAAATAACATTAATTTTTAAATTATTTGTGTTTAGAAAATACTATATATATAAATAGTATAAAACAAAGTCACTTCCCATGTTTGTCCCTATGTATGCTTAGATCTTTAAAACTCTGCAACATATTTTAATGTGGGTTTTTTTAATTGATAGAGTGATTCACGAGGAAGGATTTTTATAGAAAAAAAAAAAAAAAGAAGACTGAAGACTGTATTATTGTACTATATGTGTAGTGTGTTACCTTGATAATAAGATTAGATTAAAACCTTAATTTATTAAACTGAGTGAATTGTTTACAGAAATTATAAATTCATGTCTGGTAATTGTCGTTCAAACATAGGTTATAGTATTGCCAAAAGAGCACGTTCAGCAAGAGATGAAGAATCGTCAATGAAACGTGAGGCTTGCATTAGATAGCTTCGGGATAGACATAGAAAAGAGATAGATATAGTTCAGAGAGTTAGAGAATATTTGTAGAGCTTGAGGTTTGCCTTAGCCAGGATAGGGATGAACATCGAATACAGAGAGCAAGAGAATCGTCCGCACAATTACAGTAACACCGAATAAAACGGACAATCGAACAACCACAGATTTGAGAACGTTGACTACACGTCAATAAATTAGATTTTAAAATTAACTAATGACTAACTAATTAATGTGGGTTTTGTTGTCTTCTCGTGAGAACAGGCTTTTTTTCAGAGTTTTCTGCTAAAAGTTGGTAATGGAGAGTTAACACACAAAGTGATGAAATAATTAACTTAGAAAACCTTTGTGTTTTGTTAGACAACATCCAAGAGTTGGTCAACAATGTCTATCCCGACATTGATAACATAAGTTGTAAGACTATATTTTGGTTTAAAAAAAGAGCGATTCTGTTACCAACTAACAAACTCGTTAGCATGAGGTGGTCGTGAGAAAGCTAGGTATAAAAATAATCAAAAGCATGTGTTTTTAAATTGTTAAGAATTATAACGATTTATTATTTAATAAAAGAAATAAGACATTTAAAATAGCTTACTGCTACTTAAGAAAGTATAAATTAGACTGCGGTAAGATTATGTGGTGAACAGAGTCCACGACGAGCAACAATTTATGAAAGGGTAAAAGACCAGCTTAACACTGTTTTATTCCTAACTTTCTTCTAATTCACACTTGTTCTCATATTTATACAAGAACTCCCAATGTCTAATGGTGCAAAGATATGATAATATTAATTTATTACGTAATTTGTAATATTCGGAAAACTAAAGTAGATAAAATAATATATCTTATTATGTAAATTATTGCATTCATCAAAACTTATGAAAATATGTTATTTAACCTTCTTACATCCTATATGCATCATATATTAATTAAATATCTATTTTTATACAATGCAATGACGTCTTAACTGCTCTAGTTGTATTTGTGCTTACAACACTTCTTTAATTGGTAGGTTAATTGGTATAGAAGTCTTTATTTTTATCCTTTAGAAATTTGATAACACCCCAAAAAGAGTTTGTTGATGACAGATTTATTTTTAATGCCCTTGTGATACTTTTGCAAGAAAAATCGATGTCTAGTTGTGTCTATTTTGACTTTTGGACAGTTTTTTGGTTAATATTTTTTATCGGAGTAATGTGCTGGTTTCTGTTCATTATTAGTTATAGCTTCACGAATGACGAATAAGATGAGTCGGACGAACGAGTCAACGGCGATGTGATGACGTGCCGGTGTAAAGTTCGATGATTATGTTTGACGTTTAAACAGGTTTATTTAATATAATTAAAACACTTATGTATTTGCTCAGAAGAAATTGAATTCTTGGCGAAAGTGAACGCTATTTACATTAAACAAAATAGTAGTTTTAACTAGTCTGAATGATGAAAAATGAATAAACTAACACAAACATTGAGCATTAATTGAGAGAAATAAAACTGAGTGCAATTAAATAGTGTACGCATAGCGACTGCTATGAAACAACCTATTTACAATTTTTTTCTAATATAAGTACAGTGATTCGTCATTGGAACAACATTTTAATTTAATTACCAGAATATGCTCTACATATAAGTTTTTTTTTTTTGATAATGTTCTATATTTAATTTTTAAAGTATGATTAAATTTGTTGGTACAGCGGAATTTCAGACGAAAATTGGGTGTAAATTGCTGCAATTTATTTAAAACCTAGATACAATTGTATCAAACATAATACTGAACGTAAATAAACAACCTTAAATGATGTATATATAAATTTGTTGTATAAATCTTTTCGTGTTATAAATATTTCCTTTATTCTTGGTAGTTATACTGACGCGGACCCGTGCGGCAGCCCTTACCGAAACGGCAGTCGCCGACCGTGTCCTTATTTCTCTCATAAACCACCACTCCGCGGCACGCAACGTCGCAGTGACACACCGTCCTCCCATCCATCACCGGACAGGGGACGCGAGCGGTCGCTACGACGTCCGACAGGTACCACCATTTGAACCGGGCTGTTTTTCCGAGATCGTGTACCGAGATACAGCTCACACGTCCTCGACTCACATAATTACCTCGTTTTATTGTGACATCTTTTGCTGTGTACGTTATTGTTATTATTATTATTATTATTTCCTTTTTTTTTCTTTAATTTTGTGTATAAATATATATATATATATTGTGTCACCACAAACCCGAAGTTTTTTTTTTTTGATATATTCAATTTTTGCTCACCGCACCGCGACCGTGCATACACACCGTCACCTGTGTGCCGCGTCAAATTGGCTCCCCGAATAGGAATCACCGGTCAAGTACGTGACAGGTAAGATACTTTTCCGCTAGCTTTACAACCACGCTTTGCTTTCGTTAAGTTTTACTTAGTATTAGGTAATTCGGCTACACGTGGTAAAAGGAAGGTTAGGGAAAAACTCCGGGCGCTGAGCTTATCGCGATACGCTATATAGAACATGCCAGAGTCCCCGGGCTACGGAATTAGATATTGCACACACACGCGAGATATCGACCGAAATACACACGGTATATTGGCAACGCGATTAAAATTATTACAATTTGATCAGCTCCGAGACACCGCGACCGGTCGATCCGCGCCCACCTGCTGCATATCAAACGTATTAAACACACGCCACTATAGCGGCGCCGCCGTAGTCTAATAACCGGTCCGCGACACGAAAGCCGCCGTTGACGTACGCCGTGATATATCCGTGGAACGTGATAGCGTGTTGTTTATCAACAAAACAAATCCGTTTGTTTTCAATTTTTTTTTCTCCTTGTCAATCTCGCACGTGTACTACACTACCACTGTACCACCACGTAGGTTAATAGGAAAAAGAATCACATACTCACATACACACTCATACGTACACAATACACGATACGCTCGCGTGCGTATTAACACTTCGAGACCATTCCGAATAACGACTTTTTCCGCTACACCACACCATGTCGGGAAAAGCGTTGAATCAATTGACGTTGAAGGAACTGCGTTACGAATGTGAGACGCGCGGGCTATCCACCACGGGCACCAAGGCAGATTTAGAAACGCGTTTAAAACGAAATTTTTTTGTTGCAAAACGTCGAGCCCCGGTCGTATCCGATTTTCAATAAAATCGTCGAGTGCGACCGAGGCACTAAGTGATGACGAGCAAGGCACCCAGGACCTCGCTCTGAGTGAAAGGGCGGTCGGTAGTCCACAAGGACACCACAACCCCGTAGCTCAAAGCGACCCGGGCACCTCATACTCGAACTTACTCGACTTCAACGCGAGTTCGTATGTGACTGACACCATTCAGACCGCACACGAACAAATAAAAGTAATTTGTCAATCCGCACGCGATAGTTCGAAGAAACCGTCACTCGAAACACGGTTGTCGATCCTCGAGGACTGTCTGACCCGCCATTTCGACGACAGCCATCGGATTGCGGAGAGCATCAGACGCATCGAACTCGGCATACCGGCATCGAGATCCGAGCGAACCGAACTGATGCACCAATCGCAGCCCTTACACACACGGACTAGGGAGGACCAACAGTGGGACCGGATAGGTAGACAATCCATGTCAGCCCCCCACAAGCCCCCCTTTTCCATAGCACCGGACGGGTACCCGACGTACAACAATACGACACGAATCGGACTTACAGCCGCGAAGTCGGAGGTGCAACACGACCTCCACACGCATCCACCTCATGGTACGACGTTAACCGTGAAGCACGAACCGAACACGATCAACATGATCGATCGGTCCACTTCGCGGACGTGTACCATTCAGACCGGCTACCCGCCCCGACATTTTATGCCCCCGAACGTTCAGTACTCATTCCGTATTAGGATTTGCGTGCAGAGCGAGCATCCCTACCCGAGTTCTCCTGAACGAAGGCGGAGGACCCCGTACGGTTTTTGGAGAATACTGAATCGATTCTAGGACAGGCTAGAATATCACCAGCGGGTTGGACAAGGACAGTCGAACCGCAACTAAAAGGGACCGCCGGAAAATGGTGGACCTCCATCAAAATCTTGGACCTGTCCTGGCATTAATTTCGGTCCGAATTTTTAGAAAATTTTGACTACGCCGAAATTCAGGCACAGTTACGGGCAAAAATAGTTTCTGCGCGACAGTCTGAAAATCAAACCCCTTCCGAATTCGTCCTTGCGAAAAATCAATTAGCGCGCCGCGTTAATACCGGTCTATCTAAGCAACAGTTAGTAGGTATAATTGCGGGCCTAATGCGCGGCGAATTGCAGCGGCCTGCGAAATTTGTCGAGCTACGTCGAATAGCCGCAATCCTGGCTCCCGCAACGAACCCACCCGCTCGCACACCGGATTGAACATACCACACACAAGGAAAGAAGGGTCCCTAAACAAACCGGTCGAGCGCCGCAATCAGGACTTACAGAAAGGACTACGCGCGGCACTCACCAACGGCAAACACACCACCTGGGACTCGAAGTCAGCTCCCATTTTATTTGCTATTCGAAACCGGCGCAATGTACAAACATGATATCCACCATCGGTGTTAGTACTCGAACGCGAGTGCAAAAGACCGGGGGATTGGACCCTACAATCTGACTCACATACGCAGGTCGAACCAATAAACAGGGATAGACTTAGGCGGGAGGTAGAAATCACAGGCAGACACAACCGGGACATAGTGGCCGAGAAATGCAAATTCTTGGAGGGAGATATGGTACTATATAAGACCTACCACTTGTCCAAGGCGCACAAGGGATTTTATGCGGGATTCGAACCGAAATGGTGGGGCCCCGTAAGGCTAGAAAAGCGGATTGGTAAAGGAGTTTTCCTAACCGATCAGCTACCGCCGAGAAAAATCCACGTGTCCTGCCTAAAACGCGCACACAATTAATTATACATACGATTGCGCGTTTTTCAGCATTACCTCCAACCATCAGCAACCACAACTATGGACGCGACCAAAGTGGTGATGTTGGAGAAGGTCAGGGAGGTGGTCACGGCCCAGGGATCGATGGGCAACTGTCGCACAGTGGTGAGAGTCGCTTAACTGCGGGCTGAGCTGCTACTTTGGGCAGCTTACTGCCGGGGGTGGGCGGACCGGACCACCGACTTGGTGAGGTCGCTTGGCTCCTCGGCGGCGAGGTCACCGGGCACTCCGCCAACGCCGAAACCACCGCGCCTGTCGACCCGCCACCGGGTCACAACCGCCAAGGCGATGGGGTCGGGGTGTGCGAAACCAGCAACCGGCGCAGCACCGGCTGGCCGTTCCATACCATTTGTCCGTACCACACCGACAACACACGGCGTCACAACAATCACAACCTCATCACGGCAAGCCACCAGCTCCGCACGGCCACAGCGGGACGTGACGTGGGTGAGGCCGGCTTCGGGACGTCCGTTAGTGCCTAGGATGCCACCGGCGGATCCACACCCACCGACGACGGAGTGGACGGGGATGCCGAGCCGCGTGGCATACGTGGAGCGCCTGCCGACCCCACCACCTGCACCTCCCTCCGACAAGCCAAGACCACTGGAGCCCTGGCCAAAGCCCGCGAAGCCAGCCACACCGACAACATCAACGCGGTCGGCAGAACGGGCCAAGGAGCGGAGGAGGGAACACCAGCGGCAGAGGAGACTGCGGGCAAAAGCCGAGAGCTTCAATACTATAAAACCACTGTGCAAATTTAATAGTAATATAATAATCAGGGTTCGGATTTTATAGCATTTGCTATTTATTATAGAATTAAGATAAAGATATCAGAGTGAGCTATTTATTTGTGTTATTAACCAAGACCTCCAAATTAGAAACTTAATTTTGCTATTTTTTGCAAATTTGAAATATTTTAGATTTTTAGTGCTATTTTTGAAGTTTTAGTGAAATGTTTTGCTAATATATATGATTTTATGCTTTATTTTTTATTTTTCATAAATCTCGTTTATATTGAATGAAAAATAGTATTCATTTAGGTGAATCCAAAAATTCTCACATTTTCGTTTCATATAAATAATTGACAATTAATATGTTATTTACTATTTAACATGTTACTAGAATCTATTTTTAAGTAGACAGCTGGCAATATCAAATATATTTATACATTTATGCCCTCTTATCTGTTTTATTTATTTTTATTTTATTATTGTTCTCAATATATTTTCGTCTATCTTACGCATTTCATGCTTTCAGTATCAGTTCTCCGTATTGTTTGATTTCATTTCATATTCGTTTATTACTCGATTGTATATTATTTGGTTTTTCTGTTTCGATATTTAACGTAAAATGCTGAAAGTTAAAACATCGAACTATTCGAGACTTAGATATTTTGTGTCTGAGTTTGGTGGTAATGATGTTTTTACGATTGACGCAAGTATTCTATTTTGCAAATTGTGTGAATGTAAAGTTAATAGTGACAACAAGCTTAATGTTACTCAACACTTAAAAACGGAATAACAGTTACATTCAAACGATGTCATCATTCAAGGTAAAACAGGTATATATACAACAAGGCGTACCACATATACATTTTTTGAAATTATTAACAGAAGATGGTCATTTTAGTTTTTTTTATTAATGTATTACTTAATAAATATAATAATAATATAATAAAATAAAATAATATAATATATTTAATAAAATTTTGACTTACATTCTTTTTTTTTTTTTGCTATTTTTGTTGTTTTTATGGCATATTTATAGAGCATATTTTAAGGTTTTTTTGGTCATATAATAGCGCATATTTTAGTATTTTCAGTGCTATTAAATCCGAACCCTGATCATAACTGATATAATAATTTATTATACTTCTTATTGAATACTTTTGACTTTTATTTTACATCAAAGTATACAATTTATTTATTATCTATATATTTTGTATAAACTTCCAGGTAGTTTTCTTATATCAGTTATATGGATATTGTTAAAATAAATAGAATAAATGAGATGTTTGAAGAAATCAGTTTGAAGAAATTCCGTGTGATAGGGAATCTATATTGTCCGACGAATCTGATAGCCACGATTTTGAGTTTGATCCTACAAATTTACAAAGTACTTTTATAAATTCCGAAAATATTTTCATGGATTTATATTTAAATTCTTTACTAGTAGTATTTGATGATGGCCTTATTTTTAAAACATTAAAACGATGAGACTGATAATTCAATTAGTAATCAAACAATAAATGTAGATGACTGTAGATCATAGATTCTTAACCTTTTCTTGGCCATGGACCCCTTTAATGCATAAAATATAATCATGAACCCCATGCAAAAAAATAATATATATATATATATATATGTAAATTAATATAATTTTTATTATACGGCGACGGGTCAACAGAAGTGATAGGTTTCCGTGTTAAATTGAAATACTCGTTAGATTGTATTGCCATGTTATATTATTTTATGATTACGATAGCTTTATATGGCATATAAGATTATCGTAATCTAAGTTTTATATTTAAAAACATTGTTGTTTTTCAAATGGCTTTCGAGTGTTTTAACAATTATAATTATTTTAAAAATGCTATCAAAACAAATTTATTTTTGGCTTATAATACTTACAGCCACCCCGTGGACCACTGATCTACGGATCGTAACCATCTACGGACCCCAAGGGGTTCATGGAACCTGGGTTAAGAATCTATACTGTAGATGAAATGACCGACGAAGAAAAATTGACTCTTAGAATTCACAGAGATGTATCGAATGTGGAATAATGAATTTAGACATTTCGAAAAAAATTATTCATTTGATCAGCAAATAGGACCAACAGAAGAAATAAATGAAAAATTATTGGATCCAATTAGTGTGTTTCAAGAAATATTTCCTAAATTGAACATTTAGGATAAAGTTCTATTTAGGCCTTCCTCCATCCTATTACCTATTATTCAAATCCTACCTATAAAATAGACACTTCACTCATTGGTGGATATCCGATGGCCTGGGAGGGCTTAGTCCCCGTGATAGCCATTAAGCCCCCTTAAAAATATTTGCCAAATTGTATTTACTAGATAACTAGTATATGCGTACTCTTTGGAATGGTCATATGAAGAATCTTTTGACAATTTTTTTTTTTGTTTTCAAAACCTAGGTTTTATCTTATTATCTTTAGAACATTAATTCGAATCTAAAAATGAAAAACAAAATTAGTAATAAAAATGTTTGATAGGAATGAATAATGTAGTTCATGGTATCCGCCAAATACCATATTTGTTGGAAATAATTTGTAGATCATTACATCAACGTATAGAAAAGTATTTTGATGTTAACGGGGGTCATATTGAACAGTTTTTGTAAAATTTAATTGAATTTCAAATATATGTTGTTTAATTATGATTATTTTACAATAAAAACTGTATTAATTAATCAGGTATGTAAAATAACTGAAAATACATTTCATCATATTTTATCTTACAGAGCTATCATACAAATCGATTTGCCTCACCATATTTTCTGATTCTGGCAACTTGGGCGTGAAAAACGCGTGACAAACTCAAAATCGATTCACATAAGAAATTTCTAATAAATATCTTTAAAATGTTTATTTCTAGATTCGAAGTAATTTTCTAAAAATAATTAGATAAAACTCAGGTTTTAAAGATAGAAAAATATTTTCAAAAGATACTTCATTTGGCCACTGCAGAGAGTACGCGTATACTAGTTTTTTCAACGACTTCAGAAAAACCCTGAATTCAATTTTAAGACCTTCTTTGTATTATTACATTCAGGGACGGAACTAGGGGTGGAAGACGGGGATTCATCCCCAGGCGTAAAATTTTAGATGGTGTAATTTTTGTAATTATTAACAACTGATTTGATATTTTTAACTTTGTTAACTACTGATATTAGGTTAAAACTTAATAAGTGTGATTGTACATTAAAAAATTATCGAGAAGAGGATTTGATTATTGGTCTATGGTAGGGTGTAATTTCAACATTTTCCCCGGGTGTAAAAATTCCTAGTTCCACCTCTGATTACATTTAAACTATTTTATAATCTTTGCTTATTTTATAAATAATTACTTACTATATAGAAAACTAAAAACAATTATAAAATATGGATATAGTAATACGTATAAACTCGGCCATTTATTTAATTTTATTTTCATAATTTTTATATCGAGAAATTAATTGACTTCGTTTTGAAAATTTATTTATTTAATTTAAAATCTATCACACAAAGTTTGGATTTTTCCCGTTTATTCTCTAACAGAAAACTTTATTAAGTTTTAGGTATGATAGGTGGAAAATATTTTTATAAGGGTAAGATAATTATAATAATAACCCACATACACACTCATATTATTTAGATTCTGGGGGCATGATGTTTGCTATGTGCATTGTTTCAATTCTTAGGACCGTAACATTTATGCCACATGTACTCGAACAAGTAGCTATTTAGCATTGGTTGGTAGGTACCATACTGTTTTAGGTATGTAAAGTAGAAAATATTTATATAAAGGTAAAATAATAATAATAATAATAATAACCCACATACACATATTATTTAGATTAGATTAGATAATATACAGTTTTTAGAACAATAGAATATTTATCGAGTGATAGTGAATTAACGGAAAAAATCCCAAAGTTTATTTAGTTATAATAAACAAAAAAGTACATAATTATTAACCCTACAATTTTTACATTAATTTGTATTTTAAGTAGTATACTAATTATAATATTACCTCTGCAGTCCTAGTGCTAACAAAACAATGAGCTGCCGTCAGTGCAAATAATGGTGCTATTAATACACCAGTACAGAAGTTTATTTGAAAATCAAAAATCTCTGATTTTAAACCAACCACATAGGGATAATATTCATAGTCATATGGTTTGCCGTTTGCTATTCTAATAATTCTTCGGTGGTTTTTCTTTGATTGTGATCGATTGATTATTATTTCAGCAATAAATATGATGATTAAAATAAATTTAGTGATTTCCATTAGATTAATAAGTATTAGAAATATAAATAAAACAATAATTCTTTTTTGCGACCAAATATTTTAATAGAATCAAAGTATCCATGACTTCAGAATACAATATTTGTTTGGTAAAATATCTTTGTACTTTCTAGTTTATATAAATATATAATTATAATAAAGACTATTAAATTTATTTATATATGTTTAATTAAAGTATTTTTACTGTTAAATATCTTCCGATTCGTAATTTTAAATTTTAATTATATTATAATTTTAAGTTCAGGCCTTAAATGTTGGTGTTAAAAATTGAACCAACAGTCAGCATAAATCCTTTGTGTGAATTCTTAATATATTATGAATTATTTCTGCAAACCAATTATTTGTATATTAACACTTTGTTTTTTATTGTTTTATCTTTTTTGATTTATCTATGTATTTTTTTTACCAGGATATTTATTATTATATAATTTTGAGAAAGTCACAACTGATTAGTGTGGATGGAACCTTTTCTTTAAAATTAAAATGGTTAGTGTTTAATGGTAGTAAAAGTTTATACTAATTTCTTTTAAATTTTTTTTCTTATATTTCCAAAAAACTATTTATAAATAAATTATAAATTAGTAATTAAGATAGAAGAATTTAGACTAATTAAAACAATCCATCACTGTAATTAAGTTCTTTCTATGGCATTTTTCATTGCGTTAAAATATACATAGGTACCTTATAAAGTTTATCAGTTATCACCATTTACGTTACAGTGCATAATCTATTGGTATAATCATTCTATTGGTTCCCCACTATGTTCTCCAATAAGGTATTTCACATTATCATACGTCTCAAATTTTATGAGAAGAAATATGTGTAAATCTGGCT